CCCCCCCCCCCCCTCCCTTTTTTCAACAATGTTTTGACATTTTTCACGAGATGCGTTGTAATGAAGGCACCAGTATCATTGGTAAACTTAAGTAAACATATTTTCCAGTCTGGCATTGCTCCATAAATGGTCATATTTAGAATGTGTCTATATTAATGTTAAAATGAATGCATTTTCTTGCAGTACTGTGGATCATTACACAGCAGGCATGCTGCTCAGTGGTGTAGGAGATGCTCTGGGTTACAGGAATCAGCTGTGGGAATACAACCAATCCGGCCCTGCCATCCACCAGGTCAGACATACAATACAACAATTCTTACTGTTAATAAATCTTTATATTAATATAAAAAAAAATCATATTGTAAATGTATTCTTAATTTTATTTTTAATATTCAGTTTATTGTTAGACATATATCTCTATTATAGAGGAATATGGCTATTGATATTAAGGAATATCTTATATGTACAGAATCTGGGGCATGCTCTCACTACCACTGGAAATATTTACACCTGTCCTTCAGTCAGTCTGTCTTCCAAGTGTCATGTAGTGTTGCACTGTTATAACATACTACAATAGTATTGTGGTACCCAAGCCTCAAAATACTGGACTTCAGAGCAGTGTTATACATTACATTTACATTTAGTCATTTAGTAGACGCATTTATCCAAAGCAACTTACAAATGAGGACAATGGAAGCAATCAAAATCAACAAGAGAGCAATGATATGCAAGTGCTATAACAAGTCTCAGTTAGCTTAACGCAGTACACGTAGCAAGGTTTTTTTAAATTATAAATAAAAAGAAAACAGAGAGAATAGGAAAGAAATAGAGCAAGCTAGTGTTAGAGGCCTGTTTTGCATTTGTTAATTGTATAATAAATAAAAAGAAAACACATAGATAGAATACAAAAAGATTAGAGAAGCTAGTGTTTTTTTAAGAAAACAAGCAGTTAGTAAATAAATAGAGTGCAAGTCTAAAAGGGGCAAGTTTTTTTGTTATATATAGAATTAGAATAGACACTGTTAGAGTTAGAGGGTCAAATAAAGATGGAAGAGATGTGTTTTTAGCCGATTCTTGAAGGTGGCTAAGGACTCAGCTGCTCGGATTGAATTGGGCAGGTCATTCCACCTGGAGGGAACATTTATTTAAAAGTCAGTGAAAGTGATTTTGTGCTTCTTTGGGATGGCACAATAAAGCGATGTTCACTTGCAGAGGGAAGAGGGAACATAAGTCTGAAGTAATGAATTTAGGTAAAGGGGTGCAGAACCAGTGGGTGGTTTTGTAGGCAAACATATATATTTTTTTATTTTATGCGAGCAGCTATTGGTAGCCAGTGCAATTGATAAACAGAGGTGTGACGTGCATTCTTTTCAACTCATTAAAAATTAATCCTGCTGCCGCATTCTGGATTAATGGTAAAGGTTTGATAGAACTGGCTGGAAGACCTGCCAACCCCAGTAGCTAGATGTTGCGACTTGGACACCTCACCTCTCCAAGATATCTTGAAGGACCTATCTGAGAGATAAGACTCAAACCACTGGAGTGTGATTCCTGAGATGCCCTTTGCCAATAATGTTGACAGGAGGATCTGGTGGTTAACCATGACAAAAGCAGCGGACAGATCCAGCAAGATAAGTATTGAAGATTTGGAAT